CCTGGGCAAGAAAGGCCATGAGACTCATCTCCAATAAACCACTAGAAAACCAGAAGTGGTGCTATGTGGCGCAAGCAGTAGAACGCCAGCCTTGAGCTGAAGAGTGCAGGGACAGCGCCCAAGCCCAGAGTTCAAGCCTCACACTGACACAAAAAAAAAAAAAAAGGCAGTCATGGAATAAAAATAATGCTTTTGGAAGAATATAGAAAATAAAGAAACTCCTCCTGAAAAAAATAAAAACACTCCAAGTAGAACAGGAAGCAGAAGGATACTCAGGTGTAATCCTGCCTGGCCTGACAGATCAAAAGCAACACAGCCTGTCTGACTGAAGCTTCTGCTTCAATCTGTTCATTCTTGAACATCCATTGGAAGATGAAGTCAGAACTAGTGGGCCCAGCATCTAAAGCCTTAGCCACACAAATAGGGCTTCATAGAGAGCAAATTAAAAGCCACTAGAGGGTGCTAAACAGGGGAGTAGCCATCAATTTAGTTTTAGAAGATTCAATCTTAAGGGCTGAAAAACATAGTCTGAAAGTTTTCCCTTAAGAGAGTACTGTATATGTGTGCATGATACATGGCCATGAAACCTTCCTTTTAAAAAATACTTAGAAGAAGCCAGGCACTGTTGGCTCACGCCTGTAATCTTAGCTACTCAGGAGGCTGAAATCTGAGGATTGTGGTTCAAAACCAGCCCAGGCAAGAAAGTCTGTGAGACTCTTATTTCCAATTAACCACCAAAAAAACAGAAGTGGAGCTGTGGCTCAAAGTGGTAGAGCACTAGCCTTGAGCAAAAAAGGATCAGGGACAGTGTTCAGGCCCAGAGTTCAAGCCCCATGATGGACAAAATAATTAAAATTTAAAAACTAAAAAATAGTTAGAAGCCTGCTAGTTATCCATTGAAAAAAGAAACTGAGGAACATCCAATAAACCAGTATAATTTCACACCCACTGACAAATTCTACTAACACTTTAGTGGTTTTGGTATTATCTCCACCAAGTGCTGATAATACCATTCCTTACAGCTAAATTTAAAGAGCTTCTCTGGGGACTTCATATTTAATAAGCATGCATGTTTTCATATGTTGCTCAATTGATACTTTAGTCAAAATTAATTCTTCCTAAGATTCCAATCCCCATTGGTTCAAAGTTCCCACTAACATAACCAAACACTGGGAAATGCCAAAGAACTTCGAAAAGTGTTTCAAAACAGACTTTTAGGCTGGGCAAAATGGTTCACACCTATAATCCTAGCACTCCACAGACTGAGGCAGAAGGATTTTGAGGGATGAGAAAATATAGTGAAATGAGGGGCTGTATAGTGAGATCTTGTCCAGAAACAAAAAGACCAAAAAAGCTGGGTGGAAAGAAGGGGAAGATTTTTTTTCCCCCAATCTTTACCTGACTTAATGAAACTGTAACCCCTTTGTATATCACTTTTATAACAATTTAAAATTAAAATTTTTTTTTCAAGACCTCTAGATCTCTAGCTTAAAGAAATCACCATTTGGGGTGCTGGTGGCTCATGCCTGTAATCCTAGCTACTAGGAGGCTGAGATCTGAGGATTATGGTGAAAAGCCAGCCCAGGCAGGAAAGTCCAAAAGACTCTATCTCTAACCGGAAGTGGCGCTGGTGGCTCAAGTGGTAGAGCTCTTGCTTTAAGCTGAAGAGCTCAGGGACAGCGCCCAGGCCCAGAGTTCAAGCCCCATGACAGAGAAAGGAAAAGAAAAAGAAATCTTCTCTGAAACTATAGTAGTCACTTTTATTTTTTTTATGTTGTTTTAACAGTTAGGTCCAAATGCCTACCTACTGGCCTTCTAAGTTACTTATACGCTTACAGAAATAGTATGAAGCACTAATCTCCTTAAAATCACAGATAATGACATTGTGGAGAGCTCCTTCCTTCTGTTACTTAGACAACACACACATACACACACTTCTGGCACTACCAACAGTTTATAGCAAAATAAGTATATTTTTGTAAATGATCTTCATATAAAGCCAATTAGGGAAAAACTAGGAGAGAATGTGTTCCTGTTACTCACTGGAGATCTTGAGAGACAATAAAACGTTTAAGGACTGTTAAGGAACCTTGTTGTGTGCATCTACTGGTCCTGGGCTTCAACTCAGGCCTTGAGTGCATCCTTTAGCTTTTATACTCAAGGTTATGCGCTCTACCACTTGAGCCACACCTCCACTTCAGGCTCTGATCTTCAAATCTCAGCCTCCTGAGTTTTACAAGCGAGAGTCACCAGCACCTGGCTTAAGAAACTTTTACAAACAAAAAGACCAACTCTTGCCATAAAGAAAAGGCAAGAATGAGTGTGCCAGCGGCTCTTAAATCTTTTTGCCATCCCCAATAAAATCTGAACATCTGTGCTGTCAAAAAACTACATTAATCTGTAAGTTAGGTACTATTAGCCCACATTGTAGCAGGAAAACAAATTCTGAGAGATAAAATAATTTACGAGGCACATTGTATCCTGGGATAGCAAGGAGAGTGAGGGCTGTGGGTTGCTTCTAGTAGGGGCGGGGCGGGGAGAAAAGAGAAGGGTAGGGAGCCCTTCATACCCTCATCACTTGGAACTTTAAGACGATTACACCTGACACTATTCCTGTAAGCACATAAGCAGCACAAGTTTAAGTACTGCTGACGTGCAGCACACACACCTCAGCAGATGGGCATCTACACTTCAATGCTGAAATAACAGATACTAAATTACAGTGATAAGGCAGTGGCAGAGCTCAAGTGGTAAAGCACTTACCTTGCTAGTGCAAGGCCCTGAGTTCAATCCCCAGTACTGAAATAAATGAAGGTGACAACACCTTTATAGAGAACATATTACTTTTTGAGATAAGATGGGGTGTAGCTCAGTGAGAGTGCGTGCTTAGTGTATGTGTGGCCCTGGGTTCAATCCACAATACTAAAGGAGGAAAAAGGGGGCAAGTATAAAGGAAATTGTAGGTCAAGCATAGTGAAACATGCCTCTAATCCCAGCTATTTAAGAGGGAGAGGTAAGAAGATTGAGATTTGAGGCCAGTCCAAGCAAAAAGGCTGATGAGAGTTAAGAGCAAAGAATAATCTCAAAGAACAAGCTGGGTAACTCAAGCCTACAATGCCAACTATGCAGGAAACACAGATAGAAGGATCACAATCTAAGGCTGGCCTGAGAAAAAGGTATGAGACCTTATCTGAAAAAAATACTAGGCTGGAGGAATGGCTCAAACTGTGACACCAAGGCAGGAAAGCATCAGAGAAGTAATGCTTTCAAGCCATTATAAGGCTTGAGATCCTACAAAACAAGGTAGAAATCCAGCCAAGATTTTGAGGAATGACAAATCTGTTCATTGTTTCCTAGAGGGCAGATAGGGTCAATGCAGGAGTGGAGTGCAAAGAGACAAAGCTTACTACTATGATATTAGTGACCAGGTGGCCTGACAAACCATCCTCAAACTTAGTACCTTTAAGCAACAACCAGTTATTATTACCTACAACTGTGTGGGTAGCAGTCTGTCATCATCAATTAGGGTGTTTCTATACCACCTGCAGTCCATCAGGCAGCTCCCTTATGGCGAAAGCCAGCTTTGTTCACACAGCAGAAGCTTTGACCATGCATGATTTCTAACTCTTACATGATGATTAGAATATACCAAAGGAGATAAGGCAAAAAAATGCACAGTGTCTTGAAGCTTTGGCTCTAGAATTCACACATCAATCACTCCACCAAGGTCTACTGGCCAATCAAGTAGGAGGAGACCAGCCCAGATTTAATGAAAGGCTAGACCTCCTAATTGGAGAACCATTTCACAAAACAGAGGTCACAGGCTTGAAGATGTCTAGTTGTAGTGGTACAGGGAAAAACCGCTGGCTTCATGAACGAAGCTGAGGCTGGACTTCGACACACTACAATTTTTGTGCCCTTATGTGGTTAGAAGCAAATCTTTTCTTCCAAATTGCTTTGCCCTGCTTTCTAATTTGTCCAATGCTTTTTCCTTCCCTGTTTCTTGCCCTTCAAGTAATTGGTGGAGACTGGGGGCATGGCTCAAGATTTTATATAGCAAGTGGGAGGCCCTGAATTCAAACCTCAAAAAAGTGAGAGTGAGGGCTGGGAAGGTTGCTCAGTGGTAGAGCGCTTGCCCTTCATGCATGAGGCCCTGGGTTCGATTCCTCAGCACCACATAAGCAAAAAGAAAAAAGCCGGAAGTGGTGCTGTGGTTCAAGTGGTAGAGCACTAACCTTGAGCTGAAGAGCTGAGGGACAGTGCCCAGGCCCAGAGTTCAGGCCCCAGGACCGGACCCCCTCCCCCCAAAAAAAGAAAAAAAAAGTGAGAGTGACGAAGGAGAGAGAGAAACAGACAGAAAGATCAAGGATGCAGTCTGGTGGTAGAGCTCCTGCCTAGCATGCATGCCATCCTGGGTCTGATCTAGAACTGCAAATAACAAAAACAAAAAAGAACTGGAATCCTCAAGGAAGACTCAATTTATGTGGAAGAAAATAGGAAAGATCTTTCAGTTTGAGCTTTTTTTTTTTTTTTGGTGGTACCAGGGCTTGAATTCCGGGACTCATGCTTGCTCAGGTTATTACTCGCTTGGCTGGCACTGGAACAGCTTGAACCACACCTTCAGTCCTGTAAATACATTACTTCCTTCCCCCCCCCCTCCCCCCGGTTGTGGGACTTTAAGTAAGAGCCTGAGCACTGTCTCTCTGATCTTTTTTTGCTCAAGGCTAATGCTCTACCACTTTGAGTCACAGCTCCATTTCCAGTTTTCTGGTGGTTGACTGGAAATAAGAGTCTCACAGAGTTTCCTGTTCAAGCTAGCTTTGAACCACAATCCTCAGATCTCAGCCTCCTAAATAGCTAGAATTACAGGCATGAGTCACTGGCCCTAAATTCAAGTGCTACAACCGACAAAAACAAAACAACAAAGGAAGAGACCCTTGAGGCAGAAGGTAATGAACAAGAGCTGGAAATACAAATCTATAAAATGAAACATAGGGTACTAGAAATGGTAACTACATAAAGAATATCTAAGTTTGGGGGCTGGGAAGGTGGCTTAGTTGGCAGAGCACTTGCCTAGCATGCATGAGGCCCTGGGTTCAATTCCTCAGTACCATATAAATAGAAAAAGCTGGAAGTGGTGCTGTGGCTCAAGCGCTAGAGTGCTAGCCTTAAGCAAAAGAAGCTCAGGTATAATGCCCAGGCCCTGAGTTCAAGCCCTAGGACTGGGGGGGAAAAATGTAAGATTAGTTTTTATTATTTAAATCTTTCCAAAAGATAGTCAACTACTGCTGGGCATCGTTGGCTCATACTTCTCAGGAGGCTGAGAGCTGAGGATTTTAGTTTGAAGCCAGCCTAGACAGGAAGGTCTGTGAGACTCTTATCTCCAAATTAATCACCCAAAAGCTGGAGGTAGACCATAAAAGCTCAGGAACAGTGCTCAGTCCCTGAGTTCAAGTTCCAGGACAGGCAACCACTTAAAATAATACCAATATGATGTGAGTCTTACAATAAAAGAAATGCATAAAGACTGGAAGAATGCTTTTACTTTTTAAAAATGTAACCCCTGGAAGTAAACTATAATAAGGACGTATGCTATAAACTCTGAAGCAGCCACTAAATTTTATTGTCCTGGGTACCAGATACTGTCAAAAACACAAGCCCTGGAGCCAAAGCATTTGAGTATTAATTCTGATCATGTGATTTACTAGCTTTCTCATCCTAGGCAAATTACTTAACCTATTGTGTTATTATGAGGATTAAATAAATACTACATGTGGAAATGTTATTACGGTCAGATTATCAGAGGGCTGGGGTCCAGAGATGTAATTCAGTGGTAGAGAACATGTAGAAGGCTCTAGTTTTGATATCTAGCAGAGAGAAAGGAGGGGGGAGGGGAGAGAGAAAAGAGGACAGAAACCATTTTATAGGAGTTTGAATTAAAATAGCACTTCAAGTAAACTTACATGTCTATGAATCTAAAGTCCTCCTATAAAGTTATATATCTATTTTGGTGAAAGAGCCAGTGCTTATAAAAATACTAAGTATTTTTCAAAATAGGTGTTGGGAGGGGGGGCTGGGAAGGTGGCTCAGTGGTAGAGTGCTTGCCTGAGGCCCTGGGTTCGATTCCTCAGCACCACATAAGCAAAAAGAAAAAAGCCGGAAGTGGCGCTGTGGCTCAAGTGGTAGAGCGCTAGCCTTGAGC